CGCTAACACCAGCTGACGGAGGGAGTCAGCTGATGAAGCCAGCTGACCTGCACACACCTGCACGCACCTCGCCGGCCCCGGATGCTCGGCACGTTTGGTCGTCTCCGACCCTGACCCCGAGTCGGCTGCAGATCCGGGCCGTCCGACCCCCGCCCCGCCGCCGCGCGAGGTCCCCGTCGTCGCGCGTGTCCGCTTCAGAAATGCCATTATGCGATGCGAATGTAAATAGCGCAGCGTCCGTCGTGGGCCCGTCAATCTAGCCGTGTCATGTCGGACTGGCACGCTTGAGCCTCTCAGTGGCGGCTTGGATAAGAGCCAGCAGAACGGGAGATTGATATATGCTTCAATGTCGTTGAACCATTCTTCGCTTGGGATTCCTTTGTCTTCTGTCTTCCTCTGCCGACAGCCGGAGGATGGGGAGATTGATATATGTTTCGGCTTTCATGCAGTAGCGCAGGCGGGGGGGGGGGAGCACAGAGGCACGCCTCCCCCCCCCCCCTCCTTAGGTTCCGAGGGGTCCTTCGGGCCCATTGGGACATGTGATTATGGGTCCGATTTGAGGGCCCAAAGGGCCCGAAGGGCAAACCGGAGATCGCATTCAGGTGGCCAACCGGAGATCGCATTGGAGTGCTCAGCCCCGGCCTGTGGGGCTGAGCACTCCAATGCCAGCCAAAGGGCCCTGCGCACTGATCACGGGCCCACTGAGTCGATGAGGACCTATATGTCGGTCCGACACCACCAGCATCGCACAGCCAGCTCCGTGTCTGTGTGTGCCTGAGGGCCTACTTCCCAATCAGCTATGAAGCCAGGGCCAGTGATTTACACTGGTCGGGGGCTTTGTATCTGTTAAGGGCCCACAGCGCCTAACATAGGGCCCTGTGCTCGCAAGCGCCCCGAGCTGACCAAGGGAAGTATTTGATGAGGCCCGAAGAGAGGCCCGGGCGACACATCGAAACCGACGATCAAAGGCCAAGTTGGAGGGCATACGGGACCGAAGGACTGGTCAAAGGTCACATAAAGAATCGCGGCCCGTAGGGCCGTGACCTGAAATATCAGTAAGAGGTCTTACCGCATCGTCCCTGAGACAATGCGGCATTTAAGTCGGCCAGAGACCACGAACACCGAACGGTCCGCTCCATGTCCGTCCGAGCACTAGAGACCCATTTTCCAAGCAGGAACAAGGCCGCGGCTCGCGATTTGCAATGTTCGGGATCTCGACACAATGTGGTGCTCCTGTGTCGGTCAGGGGCCACAGTGCCTCACAGGATATTCTGTGCCAACAAGGAGTCTCAAATCGGTCGGGGGAAGATTTGCCGAACAGGGGCGGAGACGGAAGCCCGGATGACAGAGGGCCTATTGCGTTGGTCGGGGCCCTCTGACAATGAATGAAACATGAGAATTTATCATGAGTGCTCATACTGAGGCAATGGAAATGCTCTATACAAGTCAGGGCCCCCAGTGCCCAACGGCGGGCCCTCCAATCCAAATCCAGCATAGGCCCGTTAAGCCGACCCGGAATGTATGTACCAGTTATTTGACGGCGGCGATCAGGGATGTTGTTGCGTCAATGACGGTTCCTGCGTCGATCCGGGGTCAACTGCGCGGGCCAGAGGGCCTTCTGCGCAGGGAGCGGACCAATGTGATAGTGTGTATCCTTTTAAGAGCCTCCGAACTGGCCAGGGGATCTCGCCCCCGTCGCCAGAACGACGGCCGGAAGGCACACCGCAGTGGCACGGAATGGCCCTTTAGCCCTTACCCTAGGACAGTGATGTGCTCCTTCCTTTTGTTCTATTCAAGGGGCCCCTTCACCGATAAGAAATAAGAGGTTTCATTTGTGTTGAATGAAGTGGATCGAGACGTATGCCGGTTGGGCAATGGTTAACGCGCCTGCGTTAACAGCTGCGCATCTGGGAAACCAGCGGTACGGGGTTCGATTCCACGCGGTTTCGTCCTTCCTGACAGGGTGAGAGGCAGGCGAAACCATATAACCTCAGCAGCTGATTGCGCCGTAAAGCCGCAATGACAAGCCCGCAATCTCGGGAAGCAAGGACAGCGATGGTTGCAGTTTCCGTGAAACCGAACGGTGTTGGCCACTGCAAGAAACGTCAGGCGGCGAGCGCCGTGCGCACAACAACGATCATCGCAAGATAAAGTTTCTTTCAAAATAAATTCGTACAGCTCAAAACCTAGACTGGACAATTTTTAGCAGCTTTGAGAATGTCCTCTGAACTGATTAGCAGCTAGAGCAGCCCGAAACATAGAGATGTTGCCTTTACTCTTCCAGTGCTACCACCAGATCCTAGCATCGCTTCACGGCGCTGTAAAAGCTAATCCATTATTATCATCAATGAAATCAGTGAAAAACTCGCCCGGAATATCTCTAAATGTATGGTTTTGTGACCAAAGCGTTCAAAAGTGCGTCTTTCAAATGCGCCATCAGTTTCGTGTACCTGCTAGCCACGACCTGGTGTTAGCCGGGGGCCAGCACTTTTGTAGCTTTCGCGGCCTTTGTAGATTATAACGTCTGGCGTCGAATTTTTGTTTCCAGTATTTGCGAGCACGCATGTTCAAAACTACGTTACATAAGTTCTATCACTTATCGATTTTGACTGAATGTTGAACTTCCCGGGTTACTACAAATTGTTGACACATTTTTGTCTTCAATCTATTTTTGCGGGGTACTTGCTTTCTTTTTACAACCCAATTAAACATTCTAACAAAGTTTCTGAGTTTTATCGGTTTCAAATAGTTCACTGGAGCATAGTGAAATTGAGAGCACCGGCGGTTTACTTCGCAGAGTCATTTAACCCATAATTCTTTTAATATATATATATATATATATATATATATATGAATATACATAATAAAATCAATATAAACGTAATATGATAAATAAGTTAGATGCGTTTAAATGAAGTGACAGTTAACTCGCCGCAGGCTATCATGTGCGATGAGTACTGCAGTGTCAAATGTATCTGAAGCATGTTTGCAGGATGGTTGAGATCAGTCGACGGCATGACGGGTGGAACCATTGTTCAGACTTTCGTTCTCACCTGGTGTCCGTTCGTACCCAACGCTTCGGCCAGGCTGTCCGTTTTGACCTCGCCAGGCATTATTAAGCCCTAAGAATGACTGGCCTGTGATTGGTTTGCAGCCATGGACGAGTCACAGCCCTATCTGTCTGCTTGGAATAGTTGCGATTCGAGCCAAGGTGTTATGATCACGAGTAAAGCGTTCTACCATTGCGCCGATTGAGACCGTTCATCGTCCCACACAAGGACGGTTGCCCTATCCGGTTGACTCCGTGGAAGAAAGCTGGACGCATGGTCAGGGGACTCCGATTCGAATCAGAGGCGTAGCCAGGATTGTGGCCAGGGGGAGCCAAATCATAGCGAAGGGCTCTTTTAGCCGTGGATGTTCCAACCTTCCGATAGATTTAATCCGAACTTTAACTGGGTGGATGTCTGCGATCAGCGCCCACGCTGCATGATGTTTGTTGTGTGACCACTGACCCCTGCCACCCGGCAGCGAAATCCCAGGCCAACAGCAGACTTTAGTGGTGAAAGTTTAACGCGCCGCAAAGTTTGGCACGGTTCGTTTCCCCTGAGACGACACGTGACCTTTGACCCAGCGCGGCCGTTGACATCGGCTGCCGACTACACCTGGCAAGGCCAAATAACTAGCGGCTAAGGCGACTCGAACCCAGCCCACAACGGTTGGGCAGGCAGGCGCTCTAAATGACTGGGCGATTGGGACGGACAAACGAATGTTTCATCGTTTTGAGTGCCCCATTTTTGCAGTCGCGGAATATTTCAGGTTCAGGATCCCATTTTGATGATGTGATAGTATTTCGGGCTCGGGATCACATTTTGATACCTCGGCAGTCCGCTTTTTATGTCTAAAAAGCCCTACGACCTACGGATGTCTTGTGTGAATGGACGCTGTGATTTGTGGGCCTTCATCCTCATGGGCCCCGCCACTTCATGGGTAGGATAGAGGTGGGGGGAAGGCAGTGGGATCGCTGCAAAAGCCCCCGTCCTTGGCTACCTCACTTCTCTCCCCCCCCCCCCCTCCTCTCTCTCTCTCTCTCGCTCTCTCTAACGCTCTCATTCTCTTTCTTTCTCTTTCTCTTTGGCGTTGAGTTATGATGCATACATGACCAAAAGCCGAACACCATTCGGGCTCAGTTATACCTGATGATAGCCGGAGAATTAACCGTCCGAAACGTTGTGTGCATACTAACACACCAGACGAGAGCGACACGCCGAACAGTTGTCTCATCTTTAAGATGCCTGAAGAATGTCTGAAAAGGGCTCGTGCCATGATCTTGCTCGATGGAGCTTTGTTTGCATGAAATGGTACTAAAAGTTCGCGTATAATCAACACAAAATAATTGGGTCAAGTTCTTGATTTGCTTCCCTCGCAGTGTTTTTTTTATTTATCTTCAGCAAGCATCCATTCCGATGAACCGTTTCGGCCAGGAGCAATGGAAGTCCGCTCGTTTTGGAACCACGTAAAGGGGCTATAGCCCTTTTTATTTCCAGCCAGCCCAGAACTGCCCCTCCCACGCCCACAACACCAATTAATAGGGCCAATGTCGAAAATTCGGAAATCTAGGGAGCTCCCCAACCTGGCCCTGCTACGTTCACTGTCCTCAGTGGCCAGTTCCGACTCTCATCTCTGATCACATGATCTTTGGCTACAAAGCCAGTTTTGAGCTAGGAAGCGTCAAATCTATCCGTTTCCACCCATGAAAATGGCGCTTAAACTTTGAAATCTATAACCTCACATCAATTAAAATCAAACAAATTTCAACATGTGAGTTTAATTAATCTGCAATGTGCTATTCTATTTGGAGTGAATCGTGAATTCTATAAGGCAGTCTGTGGCTTTCGAATTTAGTGCAAGATAGTGTTATGCTTCCCGAAGCTGTCTTTTCATTTATGACGCAAATAAGACAAACATTCGTCGGGCAAGAAACACTTGGAAGCGGTGCAAATTGGAGAGTGGAGGATGGAGCAAACATGAGCAGGAAAAATTTGAAGTTACTCGTCGCCACGCCGCGGGGTTAAATTGCTAATGTAGAATGTAGCGCAGCTTGTAGATATGGGATACAGATTGGAGAAGCCTTGATCACCATGCATCATCAAGGCCAGAGTTGAATCTCTTCCTCAGTTCTGAACAAACAGTTGTCTTGAAGCTGGTGGTGTGAATGGTTAAGGCTCATCCAGATATATTTGTTGTGGAATCTGTCAGAGTGGCATCTCTTGGGTAGCCAGGATGCTGCTACACTAGTTTATTCTTATTATTGCATGTGTCATCAAGAGTTTTTTTGTGACTGAAGCTGATAAATCAACTTGTAAGTATTTGTGTATATTTTTGATAGCTTGTAAATGATGAACACTAGCAGTTGGGTACCATCAGTTTGTTGTAGATAGCAATACAAACACTGGGAATGAAATTTGAGGTTGGAATTATGTTACAGAATCAGTTTTTGTCTGTGATGTCATCTAATTCAATGTCATCTTAAAGAAATTCTGTCAGGAATCAGCACTTGCCTGTTTCAAAATATGATGAGGTATGACACCTCAAGATGTAATGTTTGTCACTGGATATTAGTTCACCTTATTCATAATTTGGAATGTAACTCCCAAAACAGATGCTGTCTTCTCCAAAGACCACTGGTGAATCAGTGCCTGACCAGGTCAATAGTTCAGTGCTATGCTGAAGGTTTTATCTTTCATGCATAGCTTCGTTATCTCTGTATCTGCAATGTTGATTGCTGTGCTATGGTTGTAATATGCTACTATGCTGTGTAAGCAGACTGGACTGAATACTTGTGTATTGACTCACAAGGAGTGATTGGCAGTGTGTTTGGTAACATCTATGCACACTGACTGTTACAGGTCAACTACTTAATAACATAACTGAAATATGGATCAGAAGAACTATATGATGTTTACCCTTGGGGTTGGTGTGTCCCTTGGTATCACAACACTCATCCTGATGTACAAGGTAAGAAGTGAATTGAAGACTTGTGATAAGCTTCTAAAGCTAGACATGACTGGACCAATCACTGATTTTCTACATAAGATAGGCTTTGTCCAAAATGTGCACCCATTTTTGACCCATGAACTTGTTTGCAGTGTTTAACATAATGACTCTATTTTGTATCTGACTATCCATAGACTGGATCATGAATATTAGTGATGGAGGATGGCTGGTCAGATTATTGGAAATTGTAGTTCCATGGAAAAATACCTGCAAACAGCATGTTCTCACCTAAACAAAAACTTATGTCTCTGCTGACCTGACAGAACTATTCACACTCTTTACCTATCAGTTTGTGAAGGGATGACTACAGCCTGACATTTTAATGAAATCCTGCACTGACCAAAAGCTGGGCTATCAGATCAGTGGTGCACAGTCCCAAGGAGCCTGATGGAGCCCTCAAGATCAAGAAGTAAGGGTCTGAAGGGTTGGCCAAATGCCAGTAAATGCCAGACCCTTAATAAAATGCCAGATTTACCAGTCAGAGGGCACTTTGCACCAACCAGGGCTCCTGAATCAATGAGGGGCTGTTTGTCAGCCTACAACAGCCCAGACCAGAGGGCTTCCCTTGTCAGGGAGGGGGTTTGTCCAATGTTTGACGCATCTCTCCAAGGGCCTCCAAATTGACTAGGGCACTCAGCCTCCATGTCACCAGAATGGCAGTCAGTAGGCATCCCATGCTGGGACAGAATGGCTCTCCAGCTTTTGGCTGGTAATGATAATGTGTCCCCCACTGTTCTACCCACCAGGCTCCTGCCCTAAAAGGGGTATGGGTCTTATGAGTGTTCAATAGAGAGGGTCAGATTGAGATGATTTAATTAAATAAGGTCAACCCATGTTGAAATAACATTCTAAAATATTCATGTCATTTAAATAGTAGACTGGGGAGTACATTTCATTCATAGCAGTTACAGCAATGCTCAGAATCGAGATTCTGTCACCACTCTTCCAGTTTCGCCCCAGATTCCAGCACCAGTTCGCGGTGCTGTAAAGGCCAATCCGTCCCCATTATCTAAGAATAAGAAATAATCTAAGAATCGCACAGATGAAATAAACAGCAGGACTTCCTTCTAAGCGCATGTTTTTAAGTGTCCAAAGGTACTTATTTTGGATGCGTCATAATGTTCATTCGCCCGTGTTGATACAAATTTATGGCCCCATTTCTATCTACAATCTACGTGCGCGTGGCCGACCGCTCACTCAGTTTATTGACTTAAAAATTCAGGCAGATTGCGCCTTCCGATAGCCTCTGACTTCTGCGCCAGCTGCAGAAAGTAAAAATACAAATGAAGTAAAGAAAATCGTGCCCCTCGAAATAAAACGCGCCATATCCGGTAATTTTTACGGGGGGGGGGGGACGGCGCTCAGTGCCGGGCTCATTGCCATCCCTGTGCCCCCCCCCCCCCCTTACCAAGGCTCTGGCTGCGCCCCTGCATTGGATCATTGCAGTGGTAATAGTAATTGCTAAATACGTAAAGCTTTTGCTTAATTTCTGTCCACAAATGTCTCACTAGTGTGAGGTGCCTCACAGTTAGGTCTTCAAGGCCTATTTTCTAGTCAGCGCTAAATAATATTGATGTCTGCCATACTTGCTTAAGTGAGTAAAGTCGCATACAGGTGGCTTGAATGACTTAGGTTGTTGCCTTAAAGCTGTTTAATTACCTATGTCTTCTCAGGTCCCAAAAGGAGTTGCACATTACCAGGTCCACCTTCTTTATTTTTATTTTGCAGTTGATTGGTTGTGTCATATGAACTGCTTGCTTGAGTATTGGGGTTAAGTCTTTGCTAAGTATTGCTTGTTGCCCCTGGCATCCAAGCAGCTGTATCCATTGAATGCCTGTTAGTCAAATGGTACTGAACATTTTTAACACCACATACAGTGTCATGACATGACTGCTTGGAGGCCAAATCGTTTTAACCTGGTCAGGTCGAACCAGGTTAGATTCGAATGCACAGGAATGTCTTTCCCTTAATCCACCGCACCTACCACTAGCTACTAGCCGCGATCTGGTCTCCAGCCACCAAACCGCCGGCTCTCCAACCACCAACCACAATGCCAAGACAGCGACGCTCATCATGAAACATTCACCAGCAGCCAATGCCGTCCGATTTGAAAGGCTTTTGGTCGATGATGTAGCAGCGAGCGCAATCATCACTGTCCGCTCGGCCGGCTGTCAGGCTGCCGCGGGCCTGGCGCACGTCCGCCGGCAACGCGTCGGCGGCCGTCCTGACCTCTTCCCCTCCTCCCGCCCCCCGCCCCGGCAGGTGGAGCGACTGTACCGGCTGTGCCTGGAGCTGCAGACCTCCCTCAGCGAGCTGCACACGCTGGTGGAGGAGTCGCACGCGATCGCTGGGGGCCGGCAGACGGGCGCGCTGAAGAAGGCCGTCAGTCGCCTCACCTCCTCCACCACCGGCTCCTTCTACGACCCCGACACGGAGCCCGGCGCCGACATGTGGTCCACCTGCTCCGAGAGGAAGTTCTACGAGCGCGTCGACCAGAGCGTTGACGAGCACCCGCTGCAGGCGGTGCAGGCGCTCGAGATGCGCAAGAGCGAGGTGGGCGCGCCGCCGCCACACCGACCACTGGAGTGGACGCGCCACATGGGGATAGGGTGGGGCGATTAAAGGGCAGGGTAATCGCTGTGACGTGACGTGGTCAACGGGGCAGCCCAGGTCTTACGCGAGGATTGAGACGGAAGCGTTAGTATCACGGATGAAATACTAGTTCGGACTACCTTCCCCGTCTGGTGCCTCAGTATGTGCACGACGTTTCGACCCGTTAAAGGGAGTGTCCCACCTTTGAGGTATTTTTTCTAATCGTACTCAAGAACCTACTACCAAGAAGCGCGCTGGTTGAAGTTTGAACCGATGCGCCACTGCAGACCACCTGATACTCCCATCCCCATAGCCAAAGTTCGCCTCCAAAACCACTGACGTAAACGCTATGGGGTTGAAATCAAAGTCGTAGTAAAATATTTCGTTGCAGTCGCTAGATCATAGCTTCATGCTCGCATAGTTTTTGTCTAAATAGAGTATTTCAAGCTTTCGTAACATTTATTACACGAACAATTTGACGCATTTGTGTGCTGCAAACATTACAGACCACACGTGTCGGAAAAACAAGGCAAATTAAATAACTTATTTTCATAGTAGTGAGTAGGGAGCCCATTGAGATTTCTCTCGCAGGAGCGGCTTCCTCAAATCGCGGTTCTGGGCTATATCCGATTCATCCGCGCAGTGCATGTTATGAATCCGGTCCGGTGTATTTAATACATGAAAGTGGCGCATACACGATAAAACGGTCACGCTCACGATACGTGCCAAAAACTGCACGGGCACCCCATTGCAATTAATGTTGGCTCACCCGCGACTCGCAGGAACGCCCCGCTACTCTGCGCTTCGGCAAAAGCATCTTGGGGGGGGGGGAGGGGGGAGAGTTCCACGCACGCGCACCCGATAGCAGAGGGTTCTTTGCGTGGCTGACGGGCCACAGTTCCACCGCAGCGACCGCTCTCGTTGCCTTCTGGGATACCCGGGAGCGTATGACAAGGAGAGGTCTGAGGGCCGGCGGCAGTCACGCTCAGCTAGCGCATAAACACTTAAACCGGGCCGTCGTCAGATGTTTTGGGGTCCGCAGAAGGAATTGATGTCGGGCTTTCAGGCGTATACGCCCCACAATTCGGTTACTTTCGTGGACTTGCTGGGATTCGGACTAGGGTCTTCTGTTATACCGAGGCCAGTACTCCAACAACCGTCCTTCTCTTCAAGCTTAGTTGTTGGAGCATTTGGCTCGTAGTCAGAAGACGCTGGTTCGAAGCCCGGCAACTTTAAGCAGAGGAATTGGGCTGTGCCACGTACATGGGTTGAAGCCAAACATCATCCAGCCGTTCACAGGACTCCAGATACCTGCCGCGCCGGAAAGTGAACTGGCAGAAACGTTGCCCAGCGTCCGACAGTGCGGCTGAAAGCTGATCTTTGGGATAACTTTTCGGCCAGATACGGGTGTCTTTAAGATGGAGGACGCTCGCTGTCAGCCCGGCCGTTGAACACCCTATCGCAGAAGCACGAACGCGCAGCCTCAATGCCATCCGAGGCGGCGGACTGAATGTACTGTATGCTGAGGCGCTCTGGTTCGAGTGGCGCCTAATGTTCCGCCTCTGTTCCAGTTCCAAAATCACGTGGGCTGGCTGTGGCGCATGGCGAAGGCGCATCGGCTAATCGCCCTGCAGACCAAGGACAATGACAAGAGGCAGGCCGAGTTGTACAAAGGTATTGCCGCACACCCGCTGAGAACGGACGCGTTAACGTCTGCGTTGTGACCTGTGAGACCCCGCGTTCGAACACCTGCGGTGCTGGACGCGGGTTCTCCACGCTGCTTGGGGTTAATTTTAAACTGGTCTTGTCCCGTCGGGTACTCACAGTTCGTCAACATGTCATATCTGACGCCTTCTCTGGGCACCAGCAATAATCACAAACGATGCTGGACACGGCTTCACGTGCCGTCAAACGGTGGCGCCTCGGGGGCTGCATCGGGCCCAGTGCGGTCCCCTCGAGACTCGTCGCCGGCGCGTCCACGGCGTCCACTGACGCCGTCCCTCCGGCAGCCATCAGCTTCGCGGAGCGGGCGCTGGAGAAGAAGCCGCACAGCGCCGAGGCGCACAAGTGGTACGGCGTGTCGGTGGGCGCGCGCTCCGAGTTCGGCACCGTGCAGGACAAGATCCGAGACGGCTTCGCCTTCAAGGAGCACATCGACATCGCCGTCAAGCTCAGCCCGCGCGACCCCATGCTGCACCACCTGCTCGGCCGCTTCTGCTACGAGGTCTCGCGAGCGCGCCCGCAGGCCCGGGAGCGGGGACGGCAGCGGATCGGACGGCCAGACGCGGGAGTGGATCGTGATGATGATGGGTTTTGCCGTGCTGTGCCCTGTTCTCGCACCCCATGTTGCTGAGTCCCGGCGCGTGCACGGCTGACGGACCGGTGTCTTGTCTTCCTCCTGTGAAATCGGCGTAAGAGTTGGCGTCATCTAAATTTGTTCCATCACTTTACGAATCAACGCTTGGAGAAAATGTGGTCGCTTCAACTCAGTGGCCGCTCGAGGCGATGACCGGCTCAGGCGGCCAAATCGTATAATTTAGCTTCTTATTTTCTCGCTAGGTGTCGGGCCTGTCGTGGATCGAGCGTAAGGCAGCGGCCGCGCTGTTTGGCTCCGTGCCGACGGCCACCGTGGAGGAGGCGCTCGAGCAGCTGCTGACCGCGGAGCAGCTCAGCAAGCAGCCCTGGCTCGAGAACCGGTATATCATCTCAAGGTCAGGGCGGACCCTGCCTGCTGTCATGATCCCTTACCCCCACCCCCGCGGAGATGTGTTTCAGAGCGGACGGCGCCGCACGGACGTGTCCCGACATGAAATTATGGGTCTGCCTTGAACAAGGTTCTGTGTTTTCAAAGATGTACGGTTATTTTCCATAGCGGCACCGGCGGTAGGGCTGTCTCGTGATTTGCGGCGAATGGCGTGGACAAATGATGTGCGGCGGTATGCTTGTGGTTTGGTTGTTGATTACATCGCGTGTTGTAGAGAACTGGTTGATGCTCTCCAAATTACAAAAAAAAAAAAACTGTGAGTGCCGCCTCCGGTTCTCAGCGCTTTCTAGTTTGTTGTCAATGGTCATGCAAACGTCGCAGGTGACGTCGTTAAGACCCGGCTGGCGGCGGACCACCGCACTCGGGCTTTTCGGACGCAGAATAGCCTCCGCTAGGAGGGTTCAAACAGGCCCGCTCTCCACGCGTGTGCATTCGTCCCATCCCCAGGTGTTATGTTGCCCAGAAGAAGTACAAAGAAGCGATTGCGTGGATCGACAAAGCGGCCGCCTGTCCCATCACGTCCGTGCAGGTGGGAGTTCTATCCGCCCCGCGCGCTCCTCCGGTGCGCGTAGTGAGAACGCCCTCCTCGTGCCTCCACATTCTTTCTGAAGCTCTGCGACGGCGATCGGGTGGTCTCCGTTGCGATCTAAGTTCACATTAGGGGACTGATTGCCGTCGCCTGCTGAACGGTTGACTCCGGCGCGGCCAGGAGGCTTGTGTGTGGGCCCCTGCCGGTGAAAAGGACCGACAGGATGGCGCCTCCCCAGTTCAGCGCGATAACGGAGGTGGGAACACGGCACAGCTCCTGCGTCGCAGATCACATTATGAAATTAAATCAGGGGCGTGCGGGCATGTCAACTTCGACAGCAAATTTAATCCATTGCCTGTTTTGATGCGGGACATGCCTTTAGTACTTGCGGCGTGTCGTCCACTGCGACGCATTGCTAGAGCAATGTTATCTGTGAACCATTATGAGAGCCGATCCTACCCGAGTGCCCGGGCGGTTATCCTCTTGTAGCCCGCATGAGGCCAACTCTTCCTGTGCCTGGCTGCTCGCGGTCAGCTGTCCCCTGATCTGCGCAGTGTGCAGGCCGCCGACGCGGCACCGTCACGCGATGGTCACGTGGTACTGTCGCGCGATACCTCGCGCGGTACTGTCTCGCAATGCCTCACGCGGTACTGTGGCGCGATGCCTCACGCGGTACCGTCGCGCGATACCTCACGCGGTACTGTCGCGCGATACCTCGCACGGTACTGTGCCGCGATGCCTCACGCGTACTGTGCCGCGATGCCTCACGCGGCGCCGTCGCGCGATACCTCACCCAGCCCGCTCCTGTTGCAGGACGAGGAGACGGGCAAGCTGGTCAAGGTCATGCAGGCCAAGTACAGCTCGTACCGACGCTGAGGGCAGGCGCGGTGTGACTGGCTGGCGGGGGCGGTCCGCCAGAGAACTGCCCCGAGTCAGCGGGGATGGGCGGTCCGCTGCGGAGCCGACCCGGGTCAGGCTGTGCCGTTGTCTCTCATTTCGCTAGTGTTGACGCTTCAGCGACGCGCGTCTCGATGTTAGCGAGGCTGTTGTCGAGGCGAGACGCCTCTACGAGTCCACCCCCGGAGGCGGCGACCTAGCTCCGAAGGGAGGGGGGGGGGGGGCGAATGTGCCCATCTGTAGTCAGTCACCGATACCGATGCGATTCGTGCTCCCCGATGGGGAAGCCTGCTCTTATTGGGTTAGGCTGGCGTTGTTCCGCTTTTTAACATGCGTGATAGAATTGGGGTCCGTTTCGACCAGGGGTACCAACACTCGGACATCAAGCCGTTACGTGTATGCAAACCCGAAACCATGCGCTTTCCCGGGGACTAGATCCCTTGTCATTCCAATTGTTTTTTCACGTGCGCCGTCGTTGTAAATCGGAGATGTTCACTTTAAACCTCAATTGTTTACTTATGAGAACTGCGCCAGAGTTGTTAACCGAACATTGTACGTTTATAAACTGGCACTACCCATGTGCATCGAGTCAACTGGTGTGCGTTTGCGTAAAAGTGAAGTAACAGTCGCTGGGGAACACAGGAACTGTATTCTGGGCACCATTCAGAACACCATTTATTTACACATTTTTGTGGGCGCGTCTCGCTGGCAGACATGTGGTTACACTGCTCTGCTCCCGCGTTCCACCCCCCTGCCCCCTCCCGTCCCCACCCCATCTTCACGTGTTCTGCCTCCTCTCCGCCTAACCCCAGCCTCCCAACACGAGACTCCCCTGTTATCTCTCGATTCCCGCCTCGCACAGCGCACGGCGCGCCGCGCTAGTGCCCCTCCCCCGCCCTTCTCCCACACACACACACACGCACACGCCGCAACCCCGCCCCCTCTCCCGCGGACAAGAACGATAGGCGCGCACGAGCGTCGACGGGCTCTGGGAACAGTTTATTGGCGCTGCAACTGGCCCGGCTCCTGCGGACTAGGCGGCGACCGGGGACGACGCCGCCCCCCGGGCACAATCAAGGCTCGCAACACATACTGGAAAACACGGGCGTACAAAAGGTCCACTCGAAGCGCTCAGCCACTCACGCTGGCGCCACGGAAAGCGCACGGTCCGGCCGGCGGCCAATCACAAGCGTCCGCCGGGCGCCGCGCCGCGATTGGCCAGCACGCCGCGGGGCGAGACCCCGGTCGCGGCGAGATTGCGCACAGCGACGTGAACTAAAGTAGAACTTCTGTCAATGCCTTACAGACGATGGAAAGGTGAACGGTAAACACATATCTAAACGGCTGAACGTAGCCGGTAGCGCCGGTTGCCGCCGTGGCGGACAGAGGGCGTCCCGCCCGGCGCCGGCCTGGAGCTCTGCCGGCCCGGCCCTGCTGATGACGTCACCACGCGGCTCTGACGTCATCGAGCGACCGGCCGGCGCGTGGCGCCGTTGGCGCGCGCCGCCCTAGACGGCCGAGTCCTTAGCAGCCTCCAGCTGCGCCTTGTCAATGGTCACCTCGGGAACATCCCTGCAACGCCCCGAGCCGACGTCAGTCAGAGCCGGTGGTGCCATCTGTCGCCAGCTCGGGATACTGACATCTTCCCCGGTCCCCGTTACGCGTCCCACTCCCAGACTTGCGGCACGCAGGGCTGGGGGGCAGCTGACCCGTAAGCGTTCCGGCAGATCTACTAATGCCCGAGGATGATGAGACTGACTTAACTGGCGCTCTTTATTCGGAAACCCTGAGTGAGCCGCTTTAGCCCGTGACTGACCTACAAGGGTCTCTAAAACCAAGTGATTTCCCTCCACTTTTTAGCTTTTTAAACGTGACAGCATCGGTTTCGTGACGCGACCGAGGTATGCGATCGGGTACCTCCCCTCATGTCCATGTCCGGCAAACTACTCGTAACGGACAAACCACTTCGGTGCATGTCCAGTCCATGCTACTACGGTACTAAGTGCGAAGCAGGGTGTACTCCAGTATCTGGGGCCAAATTTGCTGCGATGCGAAGCGAACAGAAATACATGCCTAATTATGGACACGGCATGTACAAATCGGCGCAGGTCTAAACCGGTCGACGAAAATACATTTCAGTGTAAGCATGGCGCTCACAGCGCCCAGTAGTTGGATTGGGATCTGTGCTTGTTGACAGCGGGAACGGTTCGCTGACCCAGCCGAACACCGGGACCGGTCAGACACAGTGTCTCTACCTGTGAACAATGGGAGGCATGCAACGCGAGTGCTGGAAGTCATACTGGGGTTAGACGTGCGGGTCGCAAGACGACAGCGACCGACGGGTCACTGGCACAGGTCCGGTCAGGTCAGGTCAGTAATCGCTGCCGGTCAGACGCGGCCACGGCTGAGCCACACGCACGCAGTGCTGGTGGGCGCCGCTGGTCAGGCACCCGCCGCGAAGCGCGGACGCGTGTCAGCCGGCCCGCGCCGGGGGGCTGGACGTGTCGCCTCTGCCGGGGTCCAAAGCTCGGCGGCCTCAGCTCAGTGCGTGGGCACACTCACAGCAGGTGCGTGGTCGCGCGGACGGAGGTCCCGCCGCGTTCGTGCCTGGTGCGCGTATACGATACATGACAGCGACAGAAGGTGCCAGGGAGCACACCGAAAACTACTCGGGTTCGCGGACGCGTCTACCAGCTCCCTAAGCCTGCGTGGAAACAAGCCGACGGCGCCCTGACGCATGACGACCCTCTGCCGTGGACTCCCTGCTGACGGACACCGCGCACAAGGGTTTGTACAGCACGGGCGCGCCCCGTCGCATGCGGGCGTCATCCGACTTCTATCAACACGGGTGCCGGCAGTCTTCGGGGGCGGTGTTGTGCGCATGCGCAGGCGCGAGCGCGCCATGCGACTCACCGCTGGCGCCGCCTATACGCTGGTCTGCCGCGGCAACCGTATCACCCTGCGGCGCGCAGGCGGAGAGGGCAGACAGTGAAGAGAAGGCGGACACCGTCAACACAGGCAGCCACGCGCCGCGCCCGCCCCCGTCCCCCGCACATGCATCGACGCCTGCCCGGCGGCGCACCGCCGTCCAGCAGCGGGCCTACAGCGAGGCGACATCGACGGAGAGAGGCGCCCACCGCCCGTCACAGCGACACCCCGCCCGGGCGGCGACGCAGACACGTACCTCTCGCCGTTGGACTCGGGCGTGTTCTTGGTGCCGTTGCCGTTCTCCTGGAGCGGCTCCTTCTCGCTGGGAACGCAGAGAAGCGGCATGGGTGACCTCGGATGAAGGCTGGAGCTATGGGAGCACAACGGGACTTCGCGGGAGCCGGTCCGAGTCTGAGCACTGGCCCCCTGGGCTATGTGAAACCACCGCAGCTCTGCATCTGGCCCCGTGGGCTTCGTGAGAATACCACATTCTCTACCGGTGCTGACTAGGCGCAACCATACGCATCGCGGCTGTACCGTGGTTATTCATTTCATAGTTACTTCGCCAGCGGTCACTTCACTACGCACTACACATCACCCCAACACAAATTCGAATGACTGAATGCGTAATGCATGATAACGAGCATTAACCTTGCCCCCTCCCCCCCCGCACCGCGCGGGGACAGACCTGGCCGCCTCCTCGTTGAGTTTCGCCGAGCCGGAGGTGCCGCGTGCCTTCGAGCAGAGCATGTGCGTGATGCCGCGGTTGTTGACCGCGTAGCAGGTCAGGTCGATGAGCACCAGCAGCACCAGCAGCACAGCGGCGACCACGCCAATCACCAGACTGGAGGCCAGCGACGGCGGAGGCGCCGCCGCCTGCGCGCCACCTGTCGACAGTTCGCAGAAAACGGCTATCAGGCTCCGCCGGCTGGGTGCCGGGGAATCGAGCGTTTCAGCGGATGATCGCGGAAATAAAGTAGACGGTTGCAAAACTCTAAAAACGCAGATGAAGCACACAGGCACCAAAGCAATGGGGATACGCCGAGACCACGGCAGACAAAATTCCAGATAAAAACATCGCATTGAGGGCAAAGCCGCGCAGCGTCGCGGGGCAGCAAACGGCTCCTCATCCGTGCACACGGGGCTCTCGTAAACGAAAGGCGGAAACATACAACCATAATGGAAAAACACTGAGCCATCGCTGTTTGACACACCGAACACCAACAAAGACCGGGACCGCATTTGATGTTCATGAGAACCGGGCGGTGGATTTGAGTACAAAACATTGCTGCACTTCAGACATTGCGCCGTCGCCAAAGCCTCCAGAAATGGCGCTTCGCAAACGTGGTAGCTGCAGTACCGATAGCAATGAACGTATGCACACCGGTGCACGAGCTTCGCCACAGCCTCCCGTCGCCGGGACGAACATTACGTCTATCGAGGGCAAAGAAACGTCTGAAGCGCCTCGATGACTGGGCCAATTTTTGAACCATGGCGGCGCCTCTGCGCTGATGTTCTCGGAGCTCACGATCGGCGTGATTAGAGGCGTTGTAGGCCGGGCAACGAAACACCCAGCTGAGAGCCGAGTGGAAAATGGAACAGTCAGCTGACTTAACGCGCCGTGTCCATGCTCAAGAACATCTACATCCAACCTGCTAAACATCTGGTCATTCCCGCCTCGATGCAACTACGGCCAGTAAGCACCACTATTCCCTACCATCGCACGACAGAAAAACGAAACACGAACGACTCGGCACGCGTTCCGACAATCAAGCACCGACGCCAACTACGCTTTAATGTACCCACCGAGTATGAACCTACGAATTCTATTTACCGCGGTGCGCACCACAAGCGTGCCACACGACAGAGACACCGAGCGAGGACCATGCCCACGTAATTACCTGACGTGCCTTACGCAATAGTGGCGCGCGTTCTGCGCGCTCCTGGGAGCGCTCCCATCGGTAGTGCCTGCCCTAGTAACTAGGCCGCGGAACGTAAGCCAGGTCATCACTGAGGCAACCAGGCATGGCGGCACAGTCATCTATTCCGCGTCCGACCGCGAGAAAGCATTCAGGCTCCACCGACGTACACACACACCGGCCGTGGCGGTGAAGAGCGGGACAGGCTAGCAAGGCGCGCGGGCGACACAGCACCACGCAGTAAGCGGAGAGAGACAGATACGGACACTGCGGGAGACGACAGGGCGGGATGCACGCGCAAGCATGGCAAGGGCACAAACGAGGCGTGTAAGGCGAAGCCAGCTGTTCCCCGGGCGTGGGCAGAGGTGGCGCCACCATCGCGCTCGACGCGGGACAGCCGGCCGACCGCGCCGCGTCGCTGGAAGACTCCGGTTCGCCGCCCGCCGCCGGGTCCGAACACGCGACAGGTCCGAACGGAGCCGACACCTCCGACGCGGCGCCACATACACGCCACACTGCTGACAGCGGCCCCGAGCCGCCAGGGTGATTCCATGTGACGTGGGACGTCACTCCGCCGCGACAGTCCCGCGCGATCACGAGTCGCCCTCCACCCCTCAGCCGTCGACGGTCTCCATTCGTCGACGACGCGCGGTGCACCCGTCAGCTCTCCCGCAGCGTTCGTTGGAGGCGTCGCCCGAGCGGCCGGGAGCCATGGGCGTGCGCCGACACCACCGGCCGGCACCGGTCACGAGAGCAGCGGGTCCCCAGCGGGGGGTCGCCTCGCCGGCGGTCTCCGCCACCCCGCTGGCACGCCCCACTCAACGGGCGCGTTCGGCGTTGGAGGCAGCGTGCGAGGATTCCTATCCCCTGGCACGGCTGCCCGCGGCGCCTGAGCAGCGCGAAACCGCGTCCGACCGCTACGACCACGGGCCTAACGGGGCGAGCCACCTGGCGGGCGAAACCATAACCTCCGCCGACACTAACGCCGCCACACGGGCAGTGCGGCAATCAAAGCCGGCCGCCGAGCAGCAGAAGGAACAACAGCGCAGTGGAGACGGCGGCGGCAGTGCCTGACGAGGGGTGTTTACCTGCGGGACACGCACGGGCGGGGGTCAACCGGCGACGGAGACGCTGACCCGGCAGGAGACACGGGAGACGAGACGGCAGGAGACGCGGCAGAGCCGACAAAGCGACAACGAAGCGTCCGCCTTTTAAGCGCCCGCAGCTGCCGTCTCACCCAACAGAGAAGCAGCAGAGGACAGTGAGACGGGGAGAGGCGCCAGCACGCGGCAGACAGGGCCGACTCGGCCGACCGCGCCGCACCGCGCCGGCACACACGGGACCCCAGCCGGGATTGCAGACGGCCGGGCCGCCACACCCACCTGGCGCCGTGAAGACAATCAGCTGCGCCGGGTCGCCGAAGCCGATGTGGTTGTGGGCGCGCAGCTCCACCCGGTAGTAGCTCTCGGGCTTGAGGATTGGTCAGGCGGAAGGAGAGCGGACCGGGCGCGTCCACCACTGACGTCAGCTTCTCCGACACCACCCGCCATATGTTCTTGTTGTTGATCACCTGGGGCGGGCAGCCGGTCAGCGCGGGTCGGGTCGGGTCGGGTCAGGTCAGGTCAGGGACGCACGAGCGTCTTGAGTTCGGAGGCAGCGGGAACAGCACGACCTGCTCTCATTCACTGTTACCACGCTGCACCACGGGGGCCATCCGATTCATGCACCAGTGTCCCCTGTTCTTACGGCACCAGCCGGAAGAGCTGGGCACATCTCGACCCAATCCGACAGCGGTCACCAACACCGGCCTCGCCCCCCCCCCCCCCCCCCCTCCCTCCGAAGGCTTCGGCTTGTCGCCGGCGAGTGGAGAGCGCGCGACTTCGACGCTGCATTCACGTTATACCCGTCTGGTGCACGTGACGAACTGTTCCAGCGAACTTCGGGCAGTGGCTCGTCCACGTATATTGGGACGGCCGGCGATGTGAGAACAAAGCTGAACAGCTTCGCCGAAACGGCCGGCAATCCGGCACGACCAATGCCACCGCTTCTTGACTTCTAGTTGATCCCAGTTCTTACACCACCAGGAGGCATGCCTGTTTTGTCACCGCAGCACATTTTATCGACTACGGACCGCGAAATCCAACGATCATATCTCAAACGTTGGTATCACCTGCCCAGTGATGCCGATCGAACACAAACAAATCGAAACAACGCTTCGCGTTCTGCTGCTCCACGTCTCCGGCCCATGTACATACCCCTAACGAGAACGCGCCTGACGCCGCCCCCTCGCCTGCCCGCGTCTCAGACCTCCCCGAACCCGCCCAGCCCGTGCCGCCTCCGCCCACACCCTGTCTCGACCCGTGCCGCCCCCGCCCACACCTTGTCCCAGCCCGTGCCGTCCTCGCCCACACCTTGTCCCAGCCCGTGCCGCCCTCGCCCACACCTTGTCCCAGCCCGTGCCGCCCTCGCCCACACCTTGTCTCGGCCCGTGCCGCCCTCGCCCACACCTTGTCCCAGCCCGTGCCGCCCTCGCCCACACCTTGTCCCAGCCCGTGCCGCCCTCGCCCACACCTTGTCCCAGCCCGTGCCGTCCTCGCCCACACCTTGTAGTAGGAGACCTGGTAGTTGTCAATCTTGGCGCCGTTGTCAGCGCCCGCGTGCCAGTGCAGCTCGTACGAGTCGGGCCGCTCGGAGAGCACCACGTGGTCGGTGCCGTCGCCGGGCGGTGACGCCATCTCCTCCGCCACTGCGGCAGCGGCACGCGCGCTCAGTCAGCGGCGCCGGCCGCGGCCGCTCCCGGCCCGCGCCGAGGATGCGGCTGGTGAGAAAATACGGGCGGACGGCAAGGGGACGCCGGCGTCGAGTCGAACAGCTCGCAGGCAGACCAAAGAGCAAAGGGCGACAGTACAAGACCAGGCCAGGACAGGACAGGAAAAAAACAAGGAGGACAAGCTACCGAACCGGACCAAACTGGAAACAACCAAGTCAGGTAACACGCTCGGCGACGTGGCATGTGGAGAAACGAGTATCATGTGGCTTACATAAAAATATTCACGCATTTTTCTTTTTACTTTACTCTTGTGGGAGAACAATGATGCACATCTTTACAACCCTGGAATATCAAAAGGTTTCAAGGTTCAACATCAACACCAAAGGCTTCAAAGAGCACCAAAAGTTTCACACCATCACCAAACGGCTCTCGGAAAAGAAGACAAGCAGCCCACATTTTACTCCCCTTACTTCAAACCAATCGCAGCGCCGTTTACGGGCTAAAGACACAGGCGCGCGGACCGGCGCCCCCCTGAACGACGCGTGCTGGGGGGGGGGACGACACCAGACCGACCGGGGCGCGGGTCCGGGGGGGGGGGGGGGGGCGGCGACGGCGCCGGCCCGCTTACTCAGGATCTCAGGCGGCTGCGGCGCGGCGATATTCGGCATCATCCGCTCCGCCTCTGCCGACCACGGGCCCAGACCGACCTCGTTCTTGGCGGCGAACCTGGCGCACGGTGATCCGGGTGATGCGACAACACACGGAGGCGGCGATACGTGAGCTCAGCACGTGCGAAGCAAGGCGTGCGGCTGGATAGCATTTGGGTCGGAAATCACGGCCCCACGGAAATCCGGTCGGAAGTCTCCGGCTTTTCATGGAGGGTGGTCTTGTATGACGTCAGCACCGAGCACCGACCATCTCAACGCAAAGATATGCGCAGAAGTCGCACCTAGCTGCACGCATAGAAGCGAGCTCGCCCAGGACCTCAGAACAATTATCGTATTGAACGTGAGCCCACTCAACCAAAGCCGTTGCCTCCCAGAGGTCATTAAGTCGACCCCGAAAAGGACGCGCCAGGTCGCCGGGTGACTCGCGAGGTCAGCCCCGCCCCCGCCCGTCACCGACCTGAACTGGTACGTCTGCTGGGGCGTCAGGTCCTCCAGCAGGAAGTGCTGTTCGGCGGGCCATTCTCGGCGCTGGGCGACCTCCCACGGCTGGCCCCGCTGCACGTGCTCCACGGCGTAGGACGTGACCGGCAGGCCGCCGTTGCTGGCGGGCGGCACCAGCGCGAACTCCACAGACGTGGCGGTCACCTCCTGCCCGCGAGGTCCGGCCGTCACACACGCTCGCCAACCAGCGGGAACGGATTTGGCGGCATGCGTCGAAAACCCAGTCCAAGATGTTTCCATGCCCTTGGATAGGGTTTTCACCCTGCCTCAGCTTAGCGAAGTTTACCAATACACCAACTGTGTAGACGATATTCAGACGATCTCAATGCAGGAGTATGTCTCGCAAACACTGCTTAGTGCGGGTTTCAATCGCATAAATCCATCTGCTCATAAGGTGCGGACTAACTGTCAACAAAATGAAGGGTCCTCTCGAAGAAGACACTCGCAACACTCCATCTTCCCCAACAACTGGCAATCAATGGATTCGCCCTCACATCCTTCCCGCCACACCGACCGGTGCCCCACCCAGTCGGTGACCTCCCTGACCTCGAACACGACGTTGCTGAGCGGGCCGGGCGCCGTGGCTTCGTGCAGCGTGATGTCCAGCGAGTCGGAGCCCAGCGGATTGGAGGCCGTGCACGTGTACACGCCGTAGAAGCTGGCGTCGGTCGGGGTCACCTGCCGGGTCACGGGGGTGACGTCAGACGGGGCCAGGTCACACGGCTAGGGAACGGGTGGCGCTGTTGGACCGTTGGTTCGCACCGAAACAAGCCTCTGCATCTCAAGCCACACACAAGAGGGGACACTCAAGACACTCGGCATCCGAGCGTTTGAATCAGCAAAGCACCATCAAACATTTCAGCTGCATATCGACGACTTCCCGACCAGCCCTCACCCCTGAGGCTCGGCCCCCGTCCCCAGCTCAGCCCTGCACCCCTCCCCCCCTCCCTCCCGAGTAGCCGGCCGGCGCGCCACCTACCCTGAGCACGGACTCGGGCCCGTCGCCGATCTGCTCCAGCTGCGGGTCGTCCACCGGCCGGCCGCCGGCGGGCCGCCAGCGGACGGTGGCGTTTGGCACGGCCTGCGCGCTGCACGAGAGGTTGGCCGCGCGACCGGCCCAGGTGAACACCTCGCGCTCCGGCGGCCCGCTCAGCCGCGGCGAGTACTGCACGGTCAGCAGGCCTGGCGCCGTCGCCTGGTGGCCGCCCTGGTTGGTCGCCACGCACTCGTACAGGCCGTCGTCGTCGCGCGTCAGGTCGCGGATGGTCAGCACGCCCACCTGGGGGACAGGGCAGGTCAGGCCAGGTCACCGATGGCCGTTGGTATGCCGGTCGTCCGGGTGACAGGTCAGGTCAGGTCGGGTCACGGGCAGACAGCAGCAGACAGCAGCGCAGACAGCCCAGAAGACAAGGGAGGCCGCACAAGGTCAGGTCACGGTCACGTCCACGGCACGTCCGTTCAAGACGGCAGGACAGGTCAGGTCGGGTCAGATGACGGTTATCGACACAGCCATCCGCCATTCATACTGCGAAAAAGGCCCTGAAGGTCACACCACGATCAGGTCACACATCCGTCTGGGAGGCAGAGCACGTCTCACTACGGGCGGTCCAGGCGCCCAGCAGAGACACAGGTCAACCCAAGTCAGCCCAACCTCGTGGTAAGCCGGTACAATGGACAATTGGCCAGTATCACCCTCACGTCCCATTTCGCGCCCTTGATTCGGTGTACCGACATGCTCGGCTCATCCGCAGCGAGTGACGGGCGTCACGAGCCGCAAGTTCAGTCGAACCCAAGTTTGAAGCGAACACCACGGGTCATCCAGGTCAGGGCAAAGGAAGTGAGCAGCTATGAGCAAACCCGCACACAGGAGCGATACAGCGTCCCAGCAAGGGACACCTTACGTTCTGTAGCGGGTGCCGTGAGTTCAACCACGCCGAGCAGAATCTCCAGCTCCCGTACATAAACTCCCGGTGGTTTCCAAGCATCCAGAGCGGCGCAACACAGCTCGCTACACAGACACACAGACGGACACTAGCGCAGCGGACTCACCCTCCCCCCTCCCTCCCCGGCGTACCGGGGCGGGCCGCGCACCACACACCTTCAGTCCGCCCTCCTCGCGCTGCTGGACGGTGGCGCGGTCGTCGCCGGAGAACTGCGCCTCCTCGTATCGCATGTCGGAGCCGACACGGCGGAACGAGACGGCCGGCAGCGGCGAGCCGTCGGCGCGGCACTCGAGCACCGCCGACTCGCCCTCGCTCGACGTCACGTTCTCGTACCTGGTCCGGTCAAGGTCAGGTCACGTCAGGTCGTCATGCATCGGCGGCGCAGCAAAACCCCGGCGTTCACGCCAGACGACACATTACGGTGCGTGGGGAAGCTATCGTCCCGTTATCTTGCAGTCTTCGCCGCGGTTTAGGGCATCAGCTGTACGGCACGTACGGCACATCAGCGGCGCAACCCAGCGCTGTCCCCGTGGTGGAACACGGACAACAGCGACGCTGCTCTGGGCGTGTGACGTCACTAGCGTCCATGGCGGCAACACAGCCCTCTACAACATCGCCGCCCGCAGACGGGAAATGATGCCGTTGTAAATCTCCATGTGACGCACGTCCAGTGCTAAAAATCAAACCGGCCGCGCTGGGCTCACGCCTCATTTCGCGGCACACGCTCGCGCCAACTCTCAACACTCAGGGTTGAACACACCACGCTGAAAGGTCGAGTCTGTCAGCGGCGGCCACAATACCACTGACGGCACGCACACACACACTTGGCATTCAATTAGGCGGTGGGGCCGTCTAATTAACCAGCACAAAAGGCAGCCGAGCGGCAGAATTAATGACAAATGGTCTCCTGTCCATTTCCTGGCGCGAAGACCTGACTGGCATCCGACCGAAACGATCAGAACCTTAGCTAAGCAAGCCTGTTCGCCTGCGCCTCAGGCAAGTGGAAAATCGTCCCTCCCGGCCGATCCAATAACGTCAGGTTTTGCTGGGAACACAAGAATAACTGGAACATAACTGTGTTGAACACATTACGCTGGATATTTTACGGCGGCCGGCCATCACTCACTGGGCGCTGTTACGATCGACACGGCATCGACGCGGCGGCCCTCAAACGACGCTGTAACCCCGCCCACGAACCTGGGCAGAAACCCGCCGGGACGCCGGCCAGTGACAACGCTTCCTGTCTCCAACACAAAAATCCGACACAAAACACACAAGCCCTCCCCACGCACACACACATACACACGACTTCGCCACCAACCAACCAATCTCCACCCTCCCTCCCCCGCCCTCACCCTATCCTACCAATAACTCGACCGTGAACACGACAAAACCACATCACACTAGCCCTTTTACCGCCGCTCCTCCGCTACACCAGCCCTTCCTCAGCTGCTCCTCTGCTGCGCCGACTCTTCCTCGCCACTCCTCCGCTACACCAACCCTTTCCCCGCCACGCCTCCGCTACAACAACCCTTCCCCCGCCGTTCCTCCGCTACAACAATCCTTTTCCCAAACCGCTCCTCCGCTACAACAACCCTTCCCCCGCTCCTCCGCTCCACCAACCCTTCCCCCGACGCTCCTCCGCTACAAAAACCCTTTTCCCCGCCCCTGCGCTACCGCAACCATTCCCCCGCCGCTCCTCCGCTACAACGACCATTGCACCCACTCCTGCGCTACAACAACCCTTCCCCCACCGCTCCTCCGCTACAACAACCCTTTCCCCCTCCTCCGCTACAACAATCCTTTCCCCCCGCTCCTCCGCCACAACAACCCTTTCCGCCGCTCCTCCGCTACAACAATCCTTTCCCCCCGCTCCTCCGCTACGACAACCCTTGCCCCCACTCCTCCGCTACGACAACCCTTCCCCGCCGCTCCTCAGTCACACCAGCTTTTCCCCAACCATTCACCAGTCACACAAACTTCACGTCTCCCCTCCAGAACGGCCTCTTCACCCGCGCCACCATCAACCCCCCCCCCGCGCCACCTACCTGACCACCTCGGGCTTGACGATGACCACCACCTCGACGGACGTCTCGACCGTGTCCACGTGGTTGGCGGCGAGGCAGCGGTAGCGGCCGGCCATCTGGCGGCGCGCCGGCTGGAACGTCAGCGTGCCGTCGCGTCGGTCCACCGTCAGACCGTCGGTCAGGTCGGCGTCGGCGCCGTCGGGCGCCAGCCACGAGCGTGTCGGCGTCGGCTTGCCCGAGGCGAGGCAGCGGATGCTGCCGGCCTCGTCCTCCACCACCTCGACCACGGTGCCCGGCTTCGGCTCCGTGATCTCCGGCCGGGAGTGCACCTGCGCGGAGCCGGAGGGGTCACTGCAGGTCACTGGGTCACAGGGGTCAGGCCACTGCGTGTGTGCACGAGGCGTGTGTTGGCGGGGGAGGGGATCTTCGAGGGAGTACAGGCGTGACTGCAAGTGTCGGCAGCACGAGCGAGATAAGATCGTCAGCTACATTCTATCATCATTTGCGCCGGAGAGTGACGAACTCGTGGACGATCCGCTGGGGAAGACGCCGGCTTGACATCTACAGCGCGGCTATGGCCTGACCAATCGATATGGCAGTTGCAAAAGCAGTGTTTATCGCATGGCTACGCAGGACCCCTTGACAACATTTGGCTCAACCGCTATATTGTTAGACAAAGTCTCCATAATTTCACTCATTAAGTTAACGACAGTCATACGTATTTGTGTTACCACGTCGTTTGGCACAGTACCCCCAAAAATGTATAATGAAACAGTACGGGCCGGAGCCCTTAAATCAGGTGCACGTGCTATCCCGGTGTGACGGGTTTCAGCCGTCAAGATCTCACCACCGCGAAACCCCAATCCCAGGCACACTTTGTAAAATACTCGGAAGTGCATAAATAAAACTGGAACGTAATGCTGCGCAATGGCCCTCTGGTTCAAGTTCAAGCCAGTAAGATGTTTTATTGCCTCTTCAGGACGCGGCACTTGGCGGGCAGGGCTCTTAAACACGGCAAGCACGTGAAACCTGGCAGAAAGCGTGCGCTGCCCATCTAACCTTATGTCAGTTTCCGCTGCAACCACCACCTCAAATCACAGTAAGGAAGTTATACCTCTAACCAGCAGAACCACGCTATCGCCCAACCGGCAGTGCCCACACACCATCAGCGTTGCGCACGTGCTGTGCTCCCGACTCGGTGTCCTCCACTTTGGACGGCCTATCTAGCGAGTTAGCTGTAATGCCATTGCTTATAGCAGCGCTCGCTCGAAGGGGGGGGGGGGGGAGGGGTATGACGCATGGCTGGCGACGCCCATCGCCCTGCCAGGGTGGTCAAGACGGTGTGGCTCTCTACATCTGTCCGGTCAGGACGAGGGGTTTGATGGTATGGCTGCTGGCGTCTGTCCTATCAGAGGGGAGGGGCATGATGGCACGACTGTCGGCGTCTGTCTGGCCAGAGGGCTGGGGACATGACGCACGGCTGTCGGCGTGTCCGGTCAGGGGAGGAGCGAGGACATGACACACGGCTGTCGGCGTCTGGTCAAAGGGGGGGGGGGGACATGACGCACGACTGTCGGCGTCTGGTCAAAGGGGGGACGTGACGCACAGCTGTCGGCGTCTGGTCAAAGGGGGGGGGGGACATGACGCACGACTGTCGGCGTCTGGTCAAAGGGGGGACGTGATGCACGGCTGTCGGCGTCTGGTCAAAGGGGGGACGTGACGCACGGCTGTCGGCGTCCGGTCAAAGGGGGGAGGACATGACGCACGGCTGTCGGCGTGTCCGGTCAGGGGGAGGGGCGAGGACATGACGCACGGCTGTCGGCATCTCTCCGGTCCAGTGCCGCATGTCCTGACGCGTGACTCAGTCGGGCGCAGCTCTCAGACGTGTTTATTTGTGAGCCGCCGGTGCGCCAGCGGTCGTCAGCCGGCGCCCATCCAGCGGCGAACACACCCGCTGCCTTCCAATGCCGGCTGACCGACTGACTGACGCCAGACGCAACAAACACGCCTTCCGTTACCATTCTGGGCGGTCAGTCCGCTCCACTCGGACGAGAGCCTTCATCACCCGAAAAAACGCAAGGCAACATCGAACGTACAGTTTGTGCCGGCATGAACCAGGGCAGTATTGCGGGCTCTTTCAGGCGGCAGACTCAGGCGCTTCTCACGAGACCGGCGCCAGCCAGGACCAGCAGTATGCATACGCTGGAAGTGAAGTACACTGCCCATGCGGATCACGTGGGAAGCGAACTTTAAACGCCTCGGTCAAGGCGCCGAACGCTATTTAAATTCAGAATGAGCCTCTCCTAGGATTCAATTACGGAGCCAAAGACCCGATTTGGCCACGCCGGAGGTAGATCAATTTGCGTAATGGCTCACGATACTACATCGAGAGTAGTCGAGATTAGATTGGAAGAACCTTATCGCAAAGAAAACAGCGGAAGTGCGGTTCAAGAAAAACGAATGAGGGTCAACCAGTGCTGTACGATAGGTCGGTCGTGTGTGGTGATATTAAGAAGCGTTTGTGGTACGTCGTCACTTTTCAGCAGTCGCAAACCCAGCAATAAGAAGCCCGTCGTGCGTAGTGCTTAACTTCAGCAACAAACAGCCAACAGACTACCAAATCAATATGACGAGGCAAACTGTGAAATGATGTGAAAATCGTAGTAGAATATCCAATATCACATCTCAGGTAGCAATTCTTAAACGAAATGACTGCATCTGAAAGTGGACGCACTTTTAAGTGATACTCTGCCAATGCACATGCAGAGCGGTTATTATAATCGATATCGCCGCGAAAATGCATCAAAGGGAAGTTGGAGCATCATGGGCTGGGTGCACCAGATAATGTCCCAGAATGATTTATGTATGCATATGGACCGCTCAAAAAGAGCGCAGAACACTCGAGCTATTTCAAGGACAGATAGATAGTTCGTCGTCTGCCTGAAACCGAAGCAGTAAATTTGACTAATCACGCCATAACTCACCCTACCTTGCGTGAACTCTGCTATCCTCCTGAAATCGCACTCCTTGGGAGGCGGTGTAACGCAACCAGTCAAAATTAAACGTGATTAATGCGGCGGAAAATGTGGCCATTAACCCCAATTAACATCCACGTGATAGCGCTGGCTATTTGGACAGACGACCGGACCGGCAGCCGGAGGGAGACAGCCGACGCTGGTACCAGCCCCCCCCCCCCCCCCCCCCCCCCCCCCCCGCCCACAGGTGACCGTGCCTCATCAACGAGAAGCTTGGTAGAGTGGTTTTACGGACGGTCGGGCTAATGGGAAAAATAACTGGGTTCGGGCGGAAAACCAGTTTCGTTAACGCAGACTTGAGCCGATTTCAGATCACGCCATTGAGCGAACGGGACGAAACAGCTCATTTTAGCAAGGTTTACTTTTTATAATCTTGAATAAGAAGGGGCTACGGAGTTTCGGGCCCATATGCCCATGCAAAAAAAATATTTCAAAGCGGTATTGATACACTTTCACCTTACGAAACTGACAAGAGGGGCAAGCAACGACAGCGTCGTCCAGGCTTCGCATAGGCTTTTATCCACAGCCATTCAATCAGCAATGTATGGGTTAAATCAATCTACCATACCACTCGAAATGGAGGCCACCAAACCGGATGATACATTACGGGATTGCGCTTGGAACGCTAAGCCACGCTGATGAGGAAACGCTTGCCCTTCCAGGTCAGATCAAAACCATTTAAAACCAGGCTTTACAATTGGGTGTGATACCTTTAAATACCTAAATACCATCGGACGGTATCGCTGCCAAGCACTCACAAAGACTGATCCGAAACTCGCGGCACTGGCAGTCGACCAGCGCTGATTCCACGCGACACGGCACGCCACGCTCCTACACAGACAGGACACGCCACGCTCCTACACAAGCAGGGCACGACACATTCCTATACAGACAGGGCACGCCACACTCCTGCACAGACGAGACACGACACACTCCTTCACACTTTAGTCCGCACACACCTGTTCAGACTGACCGTTGAGACCAGAACGGCAGTGGTAACCGGTGAGACGCATTCTGCGGCATGGCACGAGTGACGGATAACGAGCGTCATTATCACCATACACATGATGTCTGGATTGCGAATAGAGCCTATCTATCGGCTACGGAGGCCCATGCGGATGGGAGTTACCAACGCATTAGAACATTTCAATCCATGAGTTTGGCTGGCGGAGGTGCACTCTGCTTCGCATCCTCGCGCTAGGAGCGCGTGGCCAGAATACCAGCTGGTATTGGCTCTGACAAGGCATGACATTTTTAATAGGCGACGTCAGTGAACATGGAATAATTCACTTTGCTTGACCGCGGCAAAAGTATTGGGCGCAGCGGAGGGGGGGGGGGGGGAGAGGAAGGAGTGCAAATAACCTGGTTGGAAATTGGGCACCACAAACTGGCCTATTCACTTACATAGTTCATATGAACCCTCCCCTCCCCCCTCACACCACAATGGGTCCTCAGGTTACGCCACAGTGCGCTGCACTTGAGGACGGTTTCGGAAGCGTGGCGCCAGTGACTTCCAAATCTGTCACTGATGTCCCGTGACGAGGACAGTGTTCACATCGCTTTATGACTTGCACACTTACACTGTTAAGCTAGGTTCACGTCTCAATGTGTTCTCGCTGCCGAGATCTGACTATCAGTCCTCAAAAACGGCAGATCCCGGGCGGGCGTGTGACTTGCGCGCTATTGCGCGTGAGGGTCTGCGCACAGTGACCCATGCTCTTCGTCGGTACGACTGACAGTTTTCTTCTCCGTCAGTGTTCATCTCATCTCCTTACGACGCATGGTCGCCGGGCTTGGACCTGTTCCCGAGCTGCCCTCTTCAGCTTTTTCGCGACCTGAAGGTTTCAGTTGTTAATAGAATAGGGATGTAAAATACTCGTTATGTTGCAGCGCTGCAAAAATGTGTCCTCCGACCAAATAGCCTGCATTCCAGTGTTGGGAAATACTATTGCACAGCTATAAAGGAGCTGCGCAACTGCAATTGTCGAATGTGTTTCGCGTTTGAAGACACTGAAGCAAGCATCAGATGTGCTAAACCAAGCTCACTTACAACTCTCGGCATTCTCTGTTTAGTAAATGTTCCTCAATGCGCCATGGTTTGATTACGTCATCGTGCCTTGAAATCGATTAAGAGGTAATTGACGGTCAATCTATCTGGAAGTCGCGTTCATGAACGCCAGATAGGAACGCCTCGGCAATTATGCTTTTCATGGCCTTGATTGCCGCGTGGCTTATGAGGCGGCAGGATTTGAATGACGTTATTATAACGTCATGAATGCGACGGTGACTTTGAAATACTCTCCCCGATATACCTTTCCCCACTTTTGCGGGCGTGTAGCTCTCAAAGACTACAGGGTCTTAAGAACTACAGGATTGTGAACGGCACCGAAAGGTCTTCAAGACAGCTTTTTCAGTTCAACCCGATACAAACGTGGAACATTCCCTTCAAAATAACTGTCGCTTGAACCTTCGCGATGATGCAATCTGTGGTCGCAACAATGTAAGCTCTTCAAACCCATCACCTGCCGGGCCGCGTTACTAAGTAACTGGGTTGATCATAGGACTCGATCGATCAGCAGCCTCACCCGCAATTGTTCAGCTGACACATACTGCGAGGCTGCAATCAGCGGACGACACAAGAAATTGTTCCGCTGACACACACTGCGAAGCTGCAATCAGCAGATGACACGACAAATTGTTCAGCTGACACACACTGCAAGGCTGCAATCAGCAGACGGCACAACAAAGTGTTCCGCTGACACACGCTGCGAAGCTGCAATCAGCAGACGACACAACAAATTGTTCAGCTGGCACACACTGCGAAGCTGCAATCAGCAGACGACACAACAAATTGTTCCGCTGACACACACTGCGAAGCTGCAATCAGCAGACGACACAACAAATTGTTCAGCTGGCACACACTGCGAAGCTGCAATCAGCAGACGACACAACAAATTGTTCCGCTGACACACACTGCGAAGCTGCAATCAGCAGACGACACAACAAATTCGTAACCAAGGACGGCTGTTTCGCTACATCTAAAACGTTGCACTACGTTTCGTCAATATTACTTCCTGGCACGTTTGTTTTTGACGTGGCATTAGAACCTCACGAACTTTCAACAGTTAACAGGTCGTTTCCAAGCTAGGAATTCCGACGACATTTCATCTGCATGCAGCGCAGAGATACACGGCAGGAAAGCGGTTGGTCGCTTCGCTTAAAACGCCAAATCCACTTTTTCAGCACAGCTCAATAATTGATTTTCTAACGACATCGCCCATTAATAACACGTAAGAGGCCACTTCCATCAACTTAAGCGCCTATCATCAAAACGCGCTTAGCCGTTTTATGTAATCGATGGCGGGCATTCTAAATTGCTGCGTCTTTCGTACCCATGGATCAAATTTTCCGCCCGCAGACTTAAACGCATCGATTCAGGGCCATTAGCAGGTAGTAATTAGCGCCAACTTTAACAAGGCACATTCTTCGGAGCGGCCGCGAGCGGCAACTATTGGGCGCAAGTGCCAACCTAACCCAATGGCCACACACAGGCATAGCTTGTGCTGACCTTTCCCATTCAGAGAAAAGGTGAGCAGAATCTGCCAGCAGCATGGCGACGGCACAGATACCGCCGTACGCTCCCAACTTTTCCGGTTCCGTATTTACCGGGCGGCACGCTGACGTCATCAGTTCGTCTGCCGGCTGTTTATCGCGCGAAGTCAACCGAAAATGGCAGCCCGGAGCACACCAGTGCCCGGTGCTGAGCAGGGAAGCATTCCCAGGGCGGGTGATGTGTGAACGTTTCCAACGCCGGGTGCCGCAATGGCCTCATGCTGTCTTCTTCGCTTGTGTCATGAATAAACGATAAACCCCCCAAAAAGAAGCACAACATCCATAAACAACTACATTGCATAAGTCCTCGAGGATGGTTGGGAGGACTATCACAGTGTAAAATGTGACCATTGAGCCTTCCAAAGCTGACTGTGTTTTGTATGTGTAAAAAGTTAACAAGCTGGTAGCTTATGCTATCTACGAGGCCTGGTCGCGTACCTAGAATGTGTTTGCTGTCAGGAAATTGGAAACTGTGGATAATTTAGACTGAAAACGTACCTACATTTCGACGCTTGCTTTAACAAAGCGATGTCATTTCGGCGACTATATGGTAGTTTTTTAAGGAACAAACTGTACAACTCCCTTATCAAAAGGCTATCGGACAAAAAACTGTTTTCCACATGGTAGCCGCCACGAATTGGCTCTGATCGCCATGTCTCGTCAAGACGTAGATCCACCACTAATCACAATACACAAAAATACGCGTATTGCACCACTGATATGCCTTTTTGGGCAAAAACTTCGCCGCCAAAACAAACTTCTCTCTCCCTCCCACTCGGTCCTGCCCGCCCCGCCCCAGGCACGGCACTGAACCCTCATCCCAAGACCACTGCCCGTCCCCCCCCCCGCCGGCCGCCAGATCCCACGCCCTACAATCCCACCCGAGGCCGGGCCCGGCCAGCGCGTGCAGCCCGGCCTGTCGGAGCGGCAACGGCGGCCGGTCACGGCGGCCGCCGCCGACCAATCGATTGGCCGCCGGCTTCGCGGCGACCTTTCCCCAGCCATCGGCGCTGGGAATCGATGACCGAGCGGCCGGCCCTCCCGGCCGTGCGAGCCGCCGGCCGACGGGGAGGCCGATGGGGAGGCCGACGGGGAGGTCTACGGGGAGGCCAGCGGGGAAGCCAACGGGGAGACCGGCGAGGAGGCGACGCGGCCCGGGAGGGATGCGCGCTGCGGAGGTCAGGCCCGTCGGCGGGCGCACGGGGCGCGCGGGCACGAGGGGCGGCGCCAGAGCCTAGGTCCCCGGAGCTGTGGCCTACACGGGCGCGAGGATCACCGATTGAACCCAAAGCGCATCACTTCGAAAATCTCGCGCCTTGTCCAGGGGATGACGTCACCGAAGAGGTCACGCCGGGGATGACGTCACCGAAGAGGTCACGCAGGGGCGCAGGGGTCGTAAGAAACGCGGATCTGCCAGTCAGGTGACTGGCCCGTGCGAGTCCATATCCAGCAGCCAGCGTTTGTGTTTCAAGCGTTCGTTGGACACGTGCCACTGATGTCATTTAGCAGAGCAGTTGTGGGTCGCATGCGCAGCACAGCAGCGGCTCGGGGTGAGGGGATGTCGTCAGCGAGCTCGGATGAAGCGTGTGATTAAGCGTGTTATGCCAATGAATTAGATCCGGCGAACAGTGCATGCAATACGAGCTGTGAATGCAGCGCACCGTGTGAGCCGCAAACTGCGATGCAGATAACCCAAGCGCTGCACGTGACTTGTGCAATGTGGGAAAGACAACTCAGCTGGTTTCGCTGGTGCTACCAAGTCTAGATACAGTATTAAAAGGATGGGCGGTACGATCAAAGACGTCCAGCCTCGTCTCGGATGCTAAACCATCTAAAGATTTCAAAAAAGGCGATAGAAGCCGATAAGCGACATCTCAGGAAGCAGTATCCACCACAAGGACAAAAGGCACGCGAATCCCACAGCGGGTGCCGGTGCGCCGCCGCCGCCTGCGACTACGCTGTACCGCCGAACCCTGCCGAAGCTCAGCGCTGGCGCCGATCGGCGGCGACTTCAGCACCCCCGACGACTCGCAAATCGCCATCGCAGAGTCCCACACAGGAAAAATCGGCCTCGACCGAGAATCGAGCCTGCCACCTACGGCTCCCCGGCCCCCACTGACCTCGACGGTGATGCGGCGCTCATCCAGCTCGCCCTCGGCAGGCACCTTGGCACGGCACAGGTACACGCCGTCGTCCTCGGACGTGATGTTCTCGATCACCAGGCCGTCATCCTGCGTGGTGTACCTGCCGCAGGTCAGAACAGGTCAGAGCAGGTCACGGGGGCGATCCTGCGTCACATGCCGGTGACCACATGACGTCACACGTCGAACACGAAGAATCGGCGGGAGTCTGGGGATCAGAATACGGCCGCACGTACCAGGACAAGGCTGGGCAGTCACAAGCGGGCCGCGCCGAACGCGGGGTCTAGCGTGTCCGGAGGCCGCTCGGTACGTCGATCGCGCAGAGAAGTGAGCCAGCGGCACCGCTGGGCGTGGCCGGGCGCCGACCCGCCCGGGGGCCGCGTGCGCGGTGCCCGGAGAAGCGCAGTCAAAAGCTGAAGCTAGCCGGGCGCAGCTGGGGTGGGTCACATACTTCACTAGAAAAAATGGGCCTTCGCTAGAAAAAACGTTCCCCTATTTGTTCCATGTTCCATGTTCTGCGATGTTTCTGCCATTTCACTGTTGCCAGCCCAGCAACGAGAATGAGCAGCTCCCATGGGCGATGGTCTTGCCCATGAAGTGGGCGACCGCGGCGCGGAACAGGGCCAAATGTAACCGATCCCACCGAAACTGGGTCCACAGACGTGGAACAGTCGGCAATGACTCAGTCCAGACCGGCTCTACCTCATCCGTGCCATTGCAAATCGATACCCAGCTTCGGACTGCGGACTTCAGATGGCTTTTTCATGCGCTCGTAACCAGACCCGGCATTTCCCGAGGGACCAAAACGCAGCTGTTTTACGACGCTCACAGCAACAGTTCCGTCGCGGGCCACGGAGCGGGGGCGGGGCGAGGGCGGGGGCGGGTGTGACGCAGGCGGGGCCCTATCGCGATGAAGGAGTATGTCCAGCGGTGAATGACCGCCGCTGTCGTCTTTCGACAGCCAGCCGAGGCGGCACTCGTCACAAGCACGCCTGGATTCCACGAATCGATCCCAGAACATTTCATCCGCTGACCACACGGATCCACGGATACAGCGCTAGATCCGGCCCGTATGGCAGCCGGGCCAGTGCTGGACGCTCCACGCTGGGCATCCCACGCGCTGCCACCGCGGCCCACTGAGGCTCGCAAGAGATTCGCACGAGATCCGTACGGGATCCGAACGGGATCCGAACGGGATCCGAACGGGATCCGGGCAGCCGGTCGTCGGGCCTGTGACGTGACAGGAAGACACCGACCCCGATCGCCTCCCCGAGCCGTCCCGAGCCGACCCGAGCCGTGTCCGCCAGAGCGACACCACACTCCGTTTGCGCACGGTCCGCGCCGACACCGTCCGCGGGCGTCCGCACGCCGGCCACGACCCGACGAGGCCCGAGGCGCATCTCCAGCGCGGTCCTCGCGCCGGCAACAGCACCCGACAGGCTGCCCGCGCCCGTGACCGGCATAAACACCGTCCTCCGCTCCTGCGACGTCGCGGCAGTACGTTACCGGCCGGTAAACAGCCGGTGAACGGCGCGTAAACGGCCCGCAAATCAGGCGGGCCGTCGCCTGTTTACAAAGCAGGCCGCGCTTCAATGTGGGACGGACTTCAAACCGAGCGGCCGGGACGCGGGCGCCCCGGCCGGGATCCAATCATGTCAGCCTTGATTGGTTAACGAGTCGCCGGAATAACGCGCCTGGGGGTGCAGACCTTCCGTATTATGGTACCGGCAGTCGTTGAAGAATCAGCGCTGGCGGCGTTGGACTAGGACCTGGACTTGTGATGACGTGACTTCGTCGGCACATCGTGGCTTTGGATTACGCTGAGTACACTATAAGCTACTACCGGCGCTAGTGCCGGCTGAACGGCGCAAGGTCTACGTCGGTGGTCACAGACCTGGACTAGAGCGGCACGGGGCCGGCGCAGCGTTTGCATTTCTGTGGTCTCTGCACCTGTCACGCGACACAATCTTGCGACCTTGCGAGGTCGACCTGATACGACCTTGCCAGGTTGACCTGACACGACCTTCCGGCTGACTAGGTCGTATGCAGTTTTCTTATCTGTTTTCACACTGACGTAGCGTGCGGGCCCGTTGGATGCTTTTCAGACGTCAGCAATGCGGAATACGAAGGTCGGCCGTCTGGGTCCGACTATCCGGTGTAAAATCCGTTACGATTTCCCCAGCCCATCGATACCTAAACTCACGAAAGAAGCCTGCACTGCGCTGGCACTTGCATCGCTCTCCAAAAGGCACCATCGCGCTAGCCATGCTGCAGAAGCGAGCACACGTGCTCCATGAGCCTGAGTGACGCACAACTCGTGCCCCGGTGTCTTTCAGAGCCGTCCCGTGTTTCCCCGAACTGTCGCCACACAATCAGAGGCAGAAGCGCACGTGAATCTTGCATCTGGGGTGGGGATGGGAGAGGGGGGGGGGGGCAAAGACATGAGCCACCCGAGCACTCCACCGGCCCAGCGTACGTTACCGGCCGGAGCGGACCAGCGCCGGAACTAGACAGACCAGCGTCGGCACCAGAACAATCAGACCGGGAACACTTGAGTCGGAACCAGACAGACCATCACCATCCGCAGACCATCCCCAGACCGGACACACTATAGCCGGCACCAGACATACCAGAGCCAGATCCGGACCAGACCAGACCAGACTCTGAACGGACTCATCAGAACCGGAACGAGACCAGTCGGACCCAGATCAGCACCGGAGCCAGGCCATCCCCAGACCGGACACACCACAGCAGGCACCAGACGGACCAGAACCAGACCCAGACCATCCCCGTGCCGGACGCGACCGCCGCGACGCAACACGCTGCCCCGCGGCGGCGAGTGCGCCGATCCGTGAGATCGCCGGCGCATTAGAGGCGGCGGCGCGGCGCCACCCACGGCTGGTAACGGCGCCGTAATGGCCGGTCGGGCGGTGGCCAGCTTCCGCCGCCGCCCGGTCCTTTAAACGCGGCTGGACGGCGCCGGCAGCGGCTGTCGACGCTACCCGGGCGGAGAGTCGCGGCGGAGCGGCGTCCGGGGTCGGCGGCGCCCGCCTCGAGCGGCGCCGCGCCGGGCCGCGTACAAAGCGACCGCCTAATAAAGCACACAAGCGGTTCGCACATTCCGTTGACGGAAGGGGCACTTGGGTCGCGTTCAGCGCGTGATGGCCGGCGTCCCGTATCGGTGCGCGTCGCGTGACTGCAGGTCATGCGGCGGCCAAACATGCCACGGCGTGACCTCTCCCACGGCATGTCAACAGAGAGTTGACCCCGGCCGAAGCGGGCCCGCTCACGCATGGCTCATCAGGCCCCGGCTGGAGCCTGATGTCGGGTGACCCGTCCAGGTTCGGGTCGAAGTCCAAGGCGCAGGTCCAGGTGCAAGGTCCCGGTCCAGGTGCAGGTGCAGGTGCAGGTCCAGGTGCAGGTTCAGGGTCCAGGTCCAGGTTCAGGGTCCAGGTCCAGGTTCAGGGTCCAGGTCCAGGTTCAGGGTCCAGGTCCAGGTCCAGGTCCAGGTCCAGGTCCAGGCCCAGACAGCTACATAGTCAAGGGCCGCTGGCTCGGCGCGTGCTGGGGCGCCATGTCAGCAGGTCGTAACTTACCCACGGATCAAGCCAAGTGCCACGACCAACACGCACGACTATGACCGGGCCGGGACCCCCCAAGTCCCCGCTGTAGTTCGGGCAGAGGACTCCGCTCATCCCCACAACATCCACGGCCGTCTGGCGGCCGGACCGGTCCGGCCCCGCCCACTCGTCACGCGCTCGTGAGCCGACTAGTACCGCCTCCCGGAGGACACGAGCGTCGCCTGGCGATGGCTATCTTTCCACACGCGCACAGCCAGGTCATTAGCGTCGGCCGGTCGCAGGAGCGCTGAACTTTGACCCCAGCACATCCGTGAGAGCCGCAAGAATGCCGTATTTTAGTCTGGCCTAACCTCATGTCGTCGTGCCAAAACCCACTTCCGTGATGTACATTGACCTCAAATGGTCACCTAAGGGCTTTGACGGACCTCATGCAACCCACATCAGTTTGGATGGGCGCAGAGCCACGCTGACCTCCAGCAAGGCATCATCCAGAACTGAACGTGTCTGGACAAACTATCCATCCCCCCTCTCACAGGACGGGGGCGCCGATAAAAGTTGCGCATCTGGCATATCAGAGGTGCAGGATTCCATTTCTCGTGGTGCCCGCCCCGCCCTCCCCAGGATGAGAGAGAGGGGGGGGGGGGCACACCATTTAAAGTCCTCAGCCCCTGAGTGCGCCGTAAAGCTCCAATGACCGACCAGGGTCATTGGACCCCGCTCCCCCTCCCATCTGACTTGCCCTATACCAAAAAGTAACCCCCCCCCCTCCCTGATGCTAACACCCAACCTTGACCATGAGACCACTGACCCCATCTAAACAGAAAGCAGGAGCCGTCCATGACCCCCCCCCCCCCCCTTCTTCGGTGACCCGGTGCCACATGGCGCTCACCTGCCGCCTCCGGAGATGAGTTGGGAGCCGCGGAACCACTCGACGATGGCCGGCGGGCTGGCGCGCGCCACGCACCGGATCAGGGCTCGGCTGCCCATCACCGGGTTCTGCCGCTGCGGCGCGTCCTCCCATCGGATGCTCACTGCCGGGCAAGAGCGGTGAGAACGGTGAGAACGGTGAGAGCAACAAGAACAGTCGCGGGGCACAGGCTGGGCTGCCGCACGGATTTGAACTTTTGGAACTGGCCGAAGTGCGGCGCTGGGACATACGTCTAGCGTGGTCTATGACACAGGTGACAAGGAGTTTAGTGCGTGCTGGCCGTTCTAAAATACGCTGTTTATATGGGTGTCGACGCCGTCGTGCCGCTCTCTTGGGGAACATCGGCCATTGAAACGGCCGTGTTAGCGCCCGGAGGCCACAGTCTTACATCTAGCCCGGGTCTTGCACATAGAGGTCCAAGCCTCACACGGCTGGGAATCGCGCCCGCTTAATTTTGCGAAAACAGTGATGCGCCTCGCGGACTTCCCGGTAAGCTTCACCGGCAGCTAAGAGGTGGCAGCACTAATCCGCATCTGAGCCGCCCAACCGTCAGGCTGGCCCAACTAACCGCCAATTTTGAACGCCAACAACACTGCCGACAACCAGCTGCCCATAAAATCACCCAGCCGGGGACCGTTCCACGCAAAAAGACAATCTATCTAAATCAGTGGGACCCCGGTCTGGTGCGCCCCATGGCTTTCCAGCCAGGCTACAAAAAGATGCGACATGATGGACTGGTACCAAGAAGATCGTTGATGTGTTGCTGCGCCTCAGTTTTTACTCGAAACAACATTCACAAATAATACAGATGAGCATACTATTGCCGGGGATCGTGCACATCGCTAAATTCACGATAATGCATATTTCACAATTAGGTGTCGTGAATCCTTAACCACGTGGACACGAACACACCATCGCCGCCAACATACACTTCGTTTCTTCTTTTCCTTTCTCCGTCCCCACTCTGCTCGCCGTCTCTCATGTGGCCGATCGCTCCTGTCTCCATTTCGCCACGCCGCCCGGGCTCCCCTGCGCCCATCTCCGCGGCAGTGGCGCCGCCGCTTGCCTCCCGCGCCCGTCCAGATGTTTTACGGAGGGATTCTGGCCGACCATAGCGTGGCAATCGCACGGCGCGCGGGCGTCATAACGCAGCGATGCGTCACCGCCGCTCCTCCGCCGTCCGGCGGGCACACGTCCACACCAGCCGCCCGTCAGAGCGCCCCCCCCCCCCCCCCCCTACCCCGCCTCGCCCCGCACCGGCGGCGGTGGGTCGCTCCAGCGGGCGCATGACCTCGCCAATCTCTCCCGCGTGGACGGGAGACGGGTAAGCGGCAGATGCGAAGTACGGCCCTCGGTTCAAGACCGACCTGACCTCTCCGGATCGACGGGCGGACGACGACTAGCGGTGTATGTCACGCACAACCCTCGGTCAGGACCGACCCGGCCTCTCCCGGATGGGCGGGGGGGGGGGGGGGGGGCGGTCAGAAGCGGATGTCAAGCACGGCCCTAGGTCCCGAACCGACCCAGCCTCCTCCATCTCCCCGCCGCCGCTCTCCCTCGTGACCGGCTCGCTCGGACTGCCGAACACCCAGCACGTGTGCGGAGGCAATCCTTCCATCGAAGCCACACCTGCCCCTCCCTAGTTCAGGGCTGGCCTTCGCCGATGATGGCCCGCCGGCGCTGGCGGTGCTTCAGCCGACGCCCGTACGCCGAACTGCGCCAGCCCTCCAGCCGCAGTCCTGGGTCGGGGCCGACGCGGCGCTGGGCGTCCGACCCATCCGCGCTCGCTCACTGTCGAGCCCACGGCCCGGGGTGCCCGCCGCTCGGACGGCGTCCGGTGTTGACGTTCGCGTCGCTTAAAAGCGCTCCGGTTTGGCTCGGCCTCACTTCCGCTCGATAAGAGCGTCGATCTGGGGCAAACAGCGCTCGTGCCGCGCCGGGACGGTCGTGGCGCAACGCCGCTCCCGGGCGCGATAACTCCGACGCGCGCTAGCGTTGCCAAACCAGCGAGCGGGCGGGCTGATTGAGCCCCGGCAGTGGCTACAATCACGGCGACTCTCTCACCACCGTCGTCGTGCATCCGGGCAGCACCTCGAATCGGGGCGGACGCCGTGCGGCGTTTCCCTGCACCGGATGTCGCGAGGACGCCCCAACAACGGGCCCGACGTCCGGGGCGCGGCTGCCGGCCCCTGGGCGCTCAGAGAATGGAAGGTAACCACCCCCGGCGCGGGCGTCACACAATGGGGGCACGTGCGTGTTGGCCCCGGCGGGGCGGGACTGGGGGAGGGGCGAAGATGCCGGTCGCACACTGGGGGTCGTCCCGGCGCGTAACACGGGTGCGAGGGGGGGGGGGGGTGAAGAATGGGGGAGCTAGTCGGCGCAGGTGTCTGGAGCGCGCAGCGGAAGAAACTATTCACTTATTGCCGGGTGACAGCCGCTTCAAACGGAAGCGTTGGGAAAAACAAGTAAAGGTAAATCCTCAATCGCGGCGCTCTCCGAAGCAATCGTAGCATCTGCAATCGCAGGAGACGAAAAACCAGAGGCAATCGCCGATCTGTGATCGGAATGGATGCCAGCCAATGGCCATCACGAGCAGACCGGGATTGATTGCTGAACCATTCCCTGGGTGGTCCAGATGACCGTCCAAAAACAAACTTACCCACCTTCGCCACGAAGCCGAACGTTAACTACCACAATATTTACCGACCCACAAAGATAACAGCGATTTCCAAGCACCCCTAACCAGAGACAACGAGTTAGTGCGATCCATTACAACGCTGCATCGTCCATTCAAATGTTTAATACAGCCTTCAGCGGCTAAGACAAACACCGCCCGTTAACGTTAGACAGGGCGCGGCTTTATTTGCCAGCCAGGTTCTGCCGCGCCGCACCCATCCATCGTCCACGGACTCGCCGACATCACGCCCACGTGCTGACTGACCGGGACGACACGCAGACGTGTCAGCTGACCGTCCTGGGCGCTCCGTGTCTGATGGAGCAGCTCACGCCCCCAGACTGACAGCGACAACGCCTGAGGCCGCCGTGGCAGCGCCCCGCAACAATAAGCCTCCGCGACAGACCCCAGGCAAGCACGCCATGACTCTCAGCGCAGGCATTTCTAACGGTGCTCGCCGCAGGCGCACGGCCTCTGCACCGTCCATCCTTTAACACAGACGACCAATTAGCGTGTCCTGACCTAAATAAACAGCCAACACGCCGCCCAGATACCGCATGCCTACAGACAGAGGCGCTCGTTCAAGAGTCCGGCAGTGCCCGGAGTAGCCCACAATGTTGCCACATTACACCGCGGCCAGACATGAAAACCAGCGCGCAAACCCAGGCGCGGCCGTGCCCGACATGCCCTCCCCCTCCCCTTGACATCCGTGACGTCATGCCGCCCCTCCGGTCTGAGCGGATTGCGGGGCTGTTTGCGGCGGGCCAGATCAGAGCGGGCCGCGGCGGGGGTGTTGTTTGCCGCCCGTGCCCGACCGGGCCGGGGTCGATACGGCCCCGACGCCGTGTGCGGGCCGAGTCCTGCGAGGAGACGCCGAGGGCGCCCTGTCGACGACAGCCCGCCGCGCCGGCTGTCCTCAGCGAGAGGACGGCACGCGCTCGGCATCAACAGCGCGGCCGCGCAGGAGGCGGGCAGCGTCGCAGTCACTGCACGGCTCAATCCGCGCTCGTGGGAGGACGGGACCCGCGGGGCCACGGCAGACGTCGGTATTGACTCTGAGCCAGTCTGAAGCCGTCAATCGGGCGGCAGAAACACAATATCTGGCCTGTAAAGACCGGGGCGCTCCGCTTCGTCGGGAGCGATTCCGCGCGCGGGCGACGTGGCGTCGGCCTGCCAAGCACCGGCGACGCCCAGCGCACGCGTCGCGCCGCGCCCGTCGCGTCGACGTCGACGCGCGCCACGCCCGTCACGCGCACTTAGCGCGACACGAGGCGACGGTGACGGACGCCGGCGCCGCCGTCTGCGGCGCGTCGCAGGTCCGGCCCAGATGCTGTGCGCAGCTAATGCGTCGGCCGGGGCTTGCATAATTGAGCGGTCGCGGTGGCGGCCGCCGGGGCCGACGGCCGCCGGCCGAGTCAGCAGCAGCGCTGCCGGCGCCGCCGGCGGGCCGCAGGGCGGCGGGGGTTTCGATCGGTTTCGGGGTGCTGCGGTCAGCGTGGAGGCCCTTCGTACCAGTTGAAGCGGCGGTCAACGGATGCGGGGTCGGGGGTCTGAGATTCGTGTTTGCCAGAAAAAAAACACCGTCGGAAGTGAGTCCCGAACCCACAGATGTTCATCACTGGTGTGGCCCGTCACGGTTTATAACGTCCACTGGCTAAGAACAGGCTATAAATTTTACCGGTAACACGCCGTCAATCGGGCAGTGCGCGAAGAGTACGGTTTAAGACGCGATGCGCAAGAATGCGTGCATTTCGCATATTACAGTTGGTAACGGTAGCACATTCGCTTCGGCACAGCCCTGCTGTTCCAGCGCCTCACGGTCAACTTTCGCAACCCACAAAACAGCGCTGCGAATGAGTGTGCACGCATGCATTACATCACATTTCCTTGCTTTTCCATATGACTCACGTTCTCCTTACGAGAAAGCGAGCATTTGATACAATCCTCAGCTTTTCCCACCAACTTCCCGGGCGAAGACTTCACGTGTGCCGCCCTGTGCTCGTGTGCCGCCCGTGCCTCTTGCGAACTGCGAGTTAGCTGATCCTACACATGCTTTAACTTCAAGTCGTAATGTTGAGTGTTAGTTGAGTAAGTGCTGACACCACGCATGTGCCCTGCCACTTTTGCATCAATTCCTTGCTTTCAATTTGACGCTGTCCAAGTATGTCCCGAATGCATGTTTATAATGATGATGACGTCAACATTTACAAAACCAGCCACTGCAAACACCCCTCCCCTCCCACATTACCATAAATAATGAGTCTGGCTCTCAGCCTCCGCGCACCATTCGAGAGCGCGCCCAAAGATAAGCATCCTCTAACTGCTGCACTTGCAGGCGGAACACAGTAACCGCATCAGGCCTGCCCGCCCTCGCCAGAGCGCGCAAATGGAAACAAACTATTACAGCGGTTCTCTTTTTTCCATGATTC